TAATTTTAAATTGTGACTTTTTTAAATTTTATTTAAAATCAAAGCAACAAATGTTTTATTTTTGTTTTTTAATGATATATTTACGCCATTTTGTTTTTTGTGACATAAACATTTTATTTAAAACCTTTTTTATTAGTTTTTTAATTAAATTTTATTGTTTTACATAAATGACAAAATGCAAATAATTCCAATTAAAAATTATTATTATTATTATTTAGTATTTACACATTATTATTATTTTTCCTTCCCTAACACCTACCTACATTATTTATTTATTTATTTATTTATTTTTATCATACCATGGGGAAGACTCAAGCAAAATGAATAATTTCAACAAAAAAACAAAAAAAAAATTTGGCATTTTTTAATAACATTCATCACAATAAGAGTAATGAACGAACGTAGGGAGTCTTTAAGTATTTTTTTTTTCAATTAATTAATTAATTAATAACTAATATCACTCAGTAAATTTTAGCTGCAAAATATCATCTTCCTTGTAAAATAATAATAGTTTCTCTCTCTCTCTCTCTCTCTCTCTTACATTTAATCCCATTTGACTAGGTTCTAACGAGGTATTTGTACTTGATTTGTTTTCATTTTATAAAAAAATAAAAAATAAAAATACCTCTAGAAATTTCTAATTCAATTAAATTTATCCATACGTAATGTGTAATGTAATTATTATTATTATCTAAACTATTTTGTATGTTTTTTGTTGGCGATTTTAATGATGGCACACTATTGTCATTTGAAAATATTATTTTACGGATCAATAAAAAGAATTTTACAGTAAAAATTTGACCGTTGAAATGTTTTCCTTTTTTTTTCTCTAACACTTAACTTAGGCACTTTATGCGCGATTTCCTTGGCAAGTTAATAGTAAATAATTTTTACCTTGACATAATGGAAGCCATCTTGGGAAAAATTTCCGCTTGAATGGGACCGTAATCGACACATTCCCCGTCGACCGTTATGTGTCCCGAATTGCCGTCCGTTAAATCCGGTTCTAATCTAAATGCTTTCACGGGAATGATTTCGAGTTGTGGGCTGGCAACGTGATCGCCGGAGGAAAGTCCCAACAAAATCTGCAAAACGATTCAAAAGTTAATTCGTGAATTATTGCGAAAATAAATAAAAATTATTATTATCATATATACCTGAAGCATTTGACTTCTGGATGCTCCCTTTTTAACAAACATAAGCCAAATTATACCGTCACTAAGTTTGGCATTAGGAACTATAAAACAATCACTACCGATATGAGTTTGATAACTGGCTTGAACCATCACAAATTCTCCTTCCACGGTATCCCAATTTTTTGGCACTGGCTGAGTGAGAGAGGGTAGTCTGGAGGCAGGGCCGTACATTCTCACGCTATTCCCCGGTTTTCGAGGTTCTATACTGTCTAAAAAAAAAAAAAAAAATTTTAATTAATTTATTTATTAATTTCTTTAACACGTTCGAAACCAATGCTTTTTTAAATAAATAAATTTACCTTCTGTTTGCTCGTCCGTACTTAAATAACTACTACCAGCAACACTAAAATAAGTACTGTACCGACTATGTATTGAATAAAAACTATCAGATTTATGCAAACTACAAGGAGATTTGCTCCCTTTATTATCACTAGTTTCTAAATTAATATTGTCTTCAGAAACGTTTGAAAAAACATCGTTTAATGACCTAAAAAAAAAAAAAGGTTAGGTTTAGTTTAAGGTAAATGATAATGAAAGCTTTAAATGTTATTTAGATTAAAATACTTGACGATATGATAACAATTTAATTATTATTTATTACTTCTACAGGAGCGTGTTTAATTTTTAGTAAAAAATATTTTTACTCGTAATAACCAAACTCAAATTTCAATAATTTTTAATTGTTTTCATTTTTCTAATTAATTAATTGATTAATTTGTGTTTCATTTTGACTTTTCTTCATCATATTTCATTTCATTAACTTTGTATCATTAATAATAATAATAATGTTTTTTTTTTTTTTGTACATTTCATTGTAAATTTAAATATAATATGTTAAATACTTACTGACTCATCCGCATGCTTTTTATATCATCATATTTTTCATTCGAACAATTATTATATAAACCGTTTAAATGATTGCCATCTTTGGTTACTTTTTTAAGGCCATCTATTCGTGAAAACATTATTTTACCTCTGTAAATTTAAAATAATAAATTTGATTACATTAAACCTTAATATAAACAATGTGTTTTTTTTTTTTTTTTTTCTCAAGTACAAATTTACCGATAAGTTCTCAATCCGATTAATTTTGCCACACTCCATATTGAAAACCTTTGACTACCAATTGCTCTTAATTTTTCACTTTCAATGTCAATGTCAGCCAACAAACCCCAGCCTATACTTAAAAATGAATACATTATGTCATTTTTCGTCTCTACTCTCACTATATCCATATCTACGACATTTCCACTTGTAACATTAAGTGCAGAGGTAAGACAAGGATTTTTATTGTACGGTTCACTGCAAATGAAACACATTTATGTAATAAATAAGGTCACAAAAATTAAAAAAAAAAAAAAAAAAAAAAAAAAGGTCAACACAAAAAAAAAAACAATTTTGTTTACTAATATTTTAACATTATTAAATTTTTTCTTTTTTTTTTCTTTTACTTTGAAAGAAAATAACAGTGATTCCAAAAATTTTTTAAGTGTAACGAAGGAAAATGATAATTTAAACAAAAAACTGTTATTACAATGTTAATCAGAGTAAAACTTTATGTGTGATGAAATAATTTATATAATTAAAAGGAATAAAAATTTACCTTAAGGAATGTGCAATGGCTTTCGCTAAACCATTTCCAGATCCGCACGGAATGACACCGAGTTTGACTTGTGAAAAAACCTTTTCCCAATCGGGCCTTTCAAAAATTCCATTCATTATTTCAAAAAGTATTCCATCACCTTATTTAAATGGAAAAAAACATAATAATAATAATAACAATTATAAGAAGAATTAGTTACATAACAATAAAACAATTTGTGTTGACTGAAATTTGAACCATATGTATTCCATAATACAAATTATTTCTTTAAACATTTCATTTCTTCGTAATGATTATGTAATTATTAATAACTTGATGATACTTAACTGGCTTTTGCAATACATACAAATAATAATAAGATAATAATAAAAAGTATTTAAAAAAGCAAAAATTTTTCATTTGAATTATTTATAAGTTTTATAATTTAGGATTAAGTATTACCTCCGACAGCAACTATGCCACTCCATTGATAAATATCTTTTAATCTGACAAAGTCTCTAGCATAATTTGAATGTTTTGTTATTATCAAATCATATGGAATTTCGGCTTCTGTCAAAACAGGTGCTATTTTCGTATGAAACATTTCTTTGGCTTTACCAGGTCCAGATTTTGGATTTAATAAAATTAACAATTTTTGGGATTCATCAAAGCTAATTGTTGGTGATGCTGTAATTATAATTCACAACTTTATTTAAAAAAAAAAAAAATTTCAAACTAAAATCATTTATCTTATATAAATTCAACATTAAAAACATTATTTTGTTTTGATGTTATTCGAAAAAAAAAAAAAAAATAACTGTCAAATATTTCTATTTTTTTACCTATAATTTCTTGGTCTCCTTGATAAATAACAAAATCAGGTATGGGTTTTTTTTTAATTAAATATTTAATTGCCGTTCTCCACCTTTGTGCTTCTCTCATATTTTCTTGTGATTTATCAAAAGACCTGAATCTTAGAGTTATGGTCATTTTCTCTCGCCTTTCACCCGACGTAACTTTAGACTTTTTAAGAATATAAGCGTAAACGTACAAATAAGCACTAACGTCTCTCTGATCGTATTCACAACCATAATCTTCAACCATTTTTAAATCTTTTTTTTTTGAATTAGGACCGCAAACGCACGGTCCTCCTTGCACTTTGGCTTTACTTCGCATGCAATGAGCACCGACGATGTCGTCGATTCGTATAGTTTCCGTTTTTGTTTGACCATTATTTTCTTTAACAAGAGATAATCCTTTTTCGGTTAGTTTAACTTTATAAACTGTATTTTTTTTAGAAAATATATAAAATGTCTCTTCGAGCAAAGTGTCACTACCAACGCCACTGCCGTCCATTTTAAAACTAGGATTTTATAACTAGTACCACGTGATTGATAATAAGTATTATAATAACAATGAAAAAACGATATAACCGACTTTTATTTAATCTTAAGAGACAAAAAAAAAAAAACAAAATAAATTCAAATTAAATTCAATTTTAATTAAAATAAAAAAATTGTGAATGAATTAAATTTCGTTGAAGTAAAAAACTTTACGGGAAATAATTATTATAAATATCGATTTAACCGTAAATCTCTCAAATATCAGTTAACGGTTGTTTATGTATTTTTAAAAACAACGTTTCGATCATATATAAAAAACTTATTAAATATAAAAACAAATAAGGTATCGATTTCGAGTACCTGTTAATTCAATTTAATTTAATTTAATTTTTTTTTAACGTGTTAATTACAAAATAATTATTAATGTCGTTAATTAAATTTTTTTTTTTTTGTCATTTTTAAACTCGAATTCGCGTGAATTTAATACACGCTCTAAATAAATTTTTTCCTCTTTAAATAAGTAAATCTTATTAATTAAAGTTATTAATAATAATTTATTTAATTTAAATGTTAATTAACGATTATTTTTTATTAAAATAAAATTGTTACTTTTTTTAATTTAAAAAAATATCCTTCTTTCACGTGAATTTTCTTTTTACCATGAAAAAATTAAATTTAAATGACTAATGATAATTTACATTTGAGTTAATAAAATTTAATTTTTTTTTAGGTACAAAGGTACATTTATAAAAACCTTGAAAAGTTTTTTTTTTTTATGGTTGTTAGTAATTATTATTATTATAATTAAACATGAATTTTTTTTCGCATGTGTTAGTAAATAATATTTTTTTTTTATTTTAAATCTGTTTAAAATCCATAAAATTTTTAAAAATTTAAATTTAAATTTAAATTTTAAAAAATATTTTGTAATAAGTATTTCATAATTATTTTTATTTAGAAATAAATAAAATGTCGAAATAAAATTTTACGATAATAAATAAATAAATAAATAAAATTAATAATTAAATAAAATTTTTTTTTAGAATTTAAATTTAATCAAACTCGATTGAATGAAACAAAAAACATTTTTATTGATTAAACAATTGTTAAAAAAAAAAAAAAAAACTTTTGTTAATTATTTATAAACTTCTTCTTCTTCTTTTTTTTTTGTTTAAAATTAATTATTACCTTCGAGAAATAAAAAAAAAAAAAACAGAAAATCAATATTATTTTTATCCTTTTGTATTAATAAATTATTTTTATAAAAAAAAAAAAAGAATTTTTCCATTTTCGAAATTTTTAACGAGAGAAATTTATTTAATACGTAAAAGAAAGTTATTTATACATTATTAAAATTTTATTTTCGATAAATAATAATAATAATAATAAATTTATGTATGATTTAATTTTTTTTTCTAAAACGATAAGTGTAAAACTATCGATTAGTATTATTATTCGTGTTGTTTAAATAAATAAATAAATTTTAATAAAATCAAAATAATTTTTATATAAAACAACAAACAAACAACAACAACAAATTTTATAAAAAATTAATTTTTATTTTATTTTACGAAATGCAATAAAAAAAATGTCGATTGTTTGTTTGTTTGTTTGTTAAGAAAATAAATTCCTGTTACCTTCTCACAATTAAAAAATTTATTTATTTATTTGAATTTTAAATAAATTATTTATACATATATCGATTAGTTTAAATATTTTTTTTTTAAATAACTAACTACGTAAAAAAAAAAAAATAATAATAATAACAAACAAACAAATTTACATTAATTATAATCAATTATTTTATCGTAGTAAAACACATTTTAACCTCTCACGTTATTCATTTTTTTTTCTCCTTCAGTTTTTTTTCTTCTCCAGTTTTTCTCTTCTCCAGTTTTCTTTTTTATTAATCGTTCATGTTAATTTGGAAAAATTAATTCGACTGTAAAAATTTCTAGATCAAATGTTTATTATAAATGCTTCTAATTTTAAACAACCGCAAAAAAACAAGAATGGGGTTAAAAAAAAAAAAAATTTCTTTTCTTTATTTATTCTATTAATCAGGGGATTTGTTGTGTTAATTAATCGAACGATTTTCCTTCTTCCATTTTCTTTTTTGATTTTTTTCCCGGTGAAAATTTTTTTTTTAAATTTAGTTTGCTTAAATAATTTACGGATGAAACGTTGATCGTTAAAACAAATAAAAATAGAAAAAGTGAATAAATCGCGAATATAAAAAGGCTTTTTATTATCATTATTATTATTATTTAAATAGTATTTTAAGGTATAGTTTCATATTGGAAAAATCAATTTCGATTGATCATTTTCAATTTTAAAAAAATAAATAAATAAAAGTTTTCACAAGTTTAATATTATCAATTAAAAAGATTCGACCGAAAATTTTCCGGCGTTGAAAATGGCGCAATAATAATAATAATAACAATTTTCTTTTTTTTAACGGTTAAAAAAATTTATTATTAATAATAAATGAATTTTTTAAAAAAGAAAATTTTAAATGATATATTATTATCCGGGAAATTTTTTTTTTTTTTAATAAAGTTTTTCATTTTTTTCATTATTTAAAAAAAAAAAAAAAATCCGCTAAATTATTAATTTTATTCGAATTAAATTCAAAAAAAAAAAAAAAGGAAAAAAAAGTTTTTCAAAACTTTTAATCCGGATGAAAATGTTATGATTGAAAGAAAGAAAGAAAAAAAAAAGCGGAAAATGAAAAAAAAAAGTGGGGGGGGGGAAAAAGAGAGAAAATCTCATGTTTGACGACGACGACGAGGGTTTGTTGTTATGCATTTTTATAAAAAGAAAATTTTTCCTTTCTCTTTAATATTTTCTGGCAAACATTCAGTAAAAATCAAATGACGCAGGATTTTGATTAAAAAATAATAATAATAATAATAATAATAATAATAATAATAATAATAATAATGGTTAAAAACGTAAGGATTTTGTCAACGTTTAGAAAGCCGGGAAAAAAAAATTATTTTTAATAATAAAAATAAAATAAAAAAATAAAAAATTGGGTTTAGTCTGACGATCGAACGAAGGCGGAATAAGTAAAAAAAATTTTCATTTAAAAAAATTTTTTGGCATCGAATTTTCGGATTACGTATTTTTTTTTTTTTTTCAACATATTTTTTTTTTCTCATTTCGTTTAGTCGTACCTTATGTCGGTCAGTTATTTCACGTGAAAATAAAATTAACAAAAAAAAATAACTTTGAAAAGAGTATTATTATTATTATTATTATTATTATTATTATTATTATTATTATTATTATTATTATTAATATTAAATACCGCGTGGAAATTTTTAAGGGATACCGAAAATAAATACGTAATAAAGAAAATTTTCTTTTTTTTTTGCAAAATTTAATTTTCGAGCTTTTTTCTTTTTTCTTTTTTATTTAAAAAACGTTTTTATAAATAAATAAACTAGAATAAATTTAAAACCCCCTCCCGTCCCCTGCCCTCCCCCCGTCCCCCTCCAAAAAAAAAGAAAATGTAATTAAACAAAAACAAAAAAAACCTTTCGTTTAAAAATAAAAAAGGTATTAAAAAAAAAAAAACCTTTCGTTTTATCCAAAAATTTTATCCATTTTTCCTTTATTAACGCCTTTTTTTACTTTGTTCTTTTCAAAGGAAATTAAAAGGATATATAAAACGTGTTAAATTTATTTTCATCGTACACGTAATGAGTTTTCCGAACGTTTTATCATCATTATTATTATTATTAACACACGCAATTTTATCACGACATTTAATTACTTTTATTAAAATCATTATTTATTTATTTATTTATTTATTTCGCGATTTTGATACGGTTATCATTTTTTTAAAAAACGTTCCCCGATAATATTTTATCATAACTCGCGTGGATTTAAATTTACAATAATAACAATAACAATAATAATAATAATAATAATAATAATTTACGTGATTGATTGATATCTGATTTGTTATTGTTTTTTTTTTCGATTAGGCAGGTAAAAAAATAATTGAAAAGGCAGGCAAAATAAAATAAGAAATGAATAAAAACATGAGCGGTCAACGTGGAGGAGTCCAAACTCCGGAAAATTTAACGTCTGATGTCGTTGGGGGACGTCATCAGTCTGTGGTTGTCAACCTGAGTGAAAGGAAGTATAAACCTGACGACGACAGTAAAAAATTTTGTTCGTCTGCTCAATGTAAAACGTTTTTAGGCGAAGCTAATAGAAATAGAAAATTATCACAGGTAAAAAATTTTTTTGTTTTTTTCCCAATAAACCCTGATATGATAATCAGTGATATCGATAATAATAATAATAATAATAATAATAATAATAATAATGATTAAACAATTTTTTTTAAATTTTTATAATACGTAACGAAATTGAACGTAAAATAAAAAATAAATAAAAAAATGACGAATATTTTATTTATGTTTTATTTCGATTTTTAATAAATTTTTTATTATTATTTATTTATTTAAAGTTATTTTCGTAAGTAAATAATAAATCTTAAACGTTCGTGCATGTAAACGTTGTTGTCGTGTAATAAATTTTATTATTATTATTATTTTTGTTCAAAATAAATTAATTTTTTTATTGATGATAAATATATATGTATATAAATTTTTTTATTACTTTCACGGTATTAAATTTGATTTGTTTATTTTTTTTTTTTTTAAATTTATAAAATTCGTTTAATTTAAAATTATTATTATTATTATTATTATTACATAAAATTTATTTAAAAAACGAATAAAAATAAAATAAAATAGAACAAAGAAAAGAAAAGAAAGAAAAGAAAGAAAAATGTATATAAGCATTCGATATATGAAACATGCAAAGAAATTATTGATTAATAGAAAAAGAAGAAAAATAATCTTGTACTTAAATTTTCTTTTTTCTTTTTTTTTTTATGTAATCAAAAAAAAAACGTACAAAAAAACAAAATGTTTATATCAAAGGGAAAACTTTTTTTTTTTTTTTACATTAAAAAATTAAATGGCAGTCGAAAACGGGATGAAAATAAAAAAAACTGTTGTTGGATTATATCAAAATGACATGTCTTAACAATAAAAAATTATTCGCCAGGAAAATTGTAGGAAAAGTCCTGATGAAAATTTTACGAAAAAAAATGTTTTATTTATAAATTTACTTTTTAAAAAAAAACAAACAAATACACTCTGATATATTTTTAAAAAACGTCTTTTAATTATTATTATTATTATTATTATGCTTATTTATTTATTTATTACGGTATTTGATTATGTAAATTTATTTTTAATGTTAATAAAATATTTATTCATTTTTTTTTCTCTCTTTGTTTTCCACGATTTAGTCATTTGATATTATTATTATTATTATTAATCTCGATTTAATAAATTATTTATATAAAATACGTTAAAAATTATTTTATTTATTTATTTATTTCGGGCCTGTTATTATAATCGATTCGTTTTTTATGTAAAAAATTGCTTTTTGCGTTTGAACAGCTGAGAGAGAGAGAGAGAGAGAAAATAAATAAATAAATAAGAAAAAACTTTAAATAAATTTTTGGCGCTCGTTCGAAATATTTTTTATAAATAATTAATTTATTTAAACGATTAAAAATTTAAAAAAAAAATTGTGTGACATAATTTAAGCAAACAATTTAATTTAACCGAAATCAAAAATCAATATATATATATATAAAGGTAAAAAGGAAAATGTTTTTTTTTATATTTCAGGAACAAAATATAAGAAAATCAGATGGTTTTTTAAAAACTGGAACAAACGATAAATATCTACAAGATTCTTATAAACAATCATTTCAAAATCACGTTGATAATTTAACAAATGTTATAACAAAATATAACAACGCACAAGAAAAATCAAATAAAAAAAATTCGAAACAAGAGGAAAAATTGAAAAATTCAACAACAGCGACAACGACGACAACAGCAAAAGTATCATCAAAACCATTGACAAGATTAGAAATCAAAACGGATGAAGGAATTCATAAAAAAATTATTTTCGGAAACGATGAAGAGGAGGACGAGGACGACGATGAAAACAATTACAAAATAAATAATAATAATAATAATAAATTGAAAATGAAAAATGTTAACTTGATGGTAACGGAAAAATTTCAAGAAGAAAATTTTTTCGAAAATTTATCAGAACCTAATCCTATGATAACATTTAATCATGTTTGCTCGGAAGAACAATCGGAAAAGGTTAATTATGATGAAATACGTTTTAAAAATAGTAGAAGTTCGAGTCCTATGTTAGAAGTACCCGGTACGAAAAAAGAAGAAAAAATAACTACTCGACCTCCATTGTAAATATATATATATATATAATGAATTCCGTGAATAGAGAGACCGAAGAGTTTTCTAAAAAACTCGTCAACGAAAGAAAATTATGTCGGGAAAAGTTATACAGCGGAATATTTGAAAAACATAGGCAAACACTTTTTGTTTTGGGGACTTTTATGAAACTTTTCAAAACGACTTCCTCCAGGCGAAAACAATGTTATGAAGTTAAATAAACAAAAAAACATATTATGTATAATATTTGGGATAAATTTTTTTCCAAAACTTCTTTATCATTATTATTATTATTATTTATCTTATTATATAAATAAAACAATTTTTTTTTATATCTTGTGCACTTATTTATACATAAATTTTTATCTTTTATTGAATTATATATATATATATATTAAATTTATAAAAATTTTTGTAAGGCTTCCCTGATTTGGAAAAAAAAAAAAAAAAATTAAATTAAAGTACAAAATTATTTTTTTTTTTTTTATGAATAATAAAAATATATAAGAGTGTGATGAAGTGTTTGTTAAAAAAGAAAAAGTAATAATGATGATGATGATGATGATATTATATCAAAGAATGATTGTTAAATTAGTTTTACTCTTTGTACCTAAAGAAACGTGATGTGAAAATATTAAAAAATTTAATTTTTAAACTTTCAATAATTATTTACTTAAATATTTATGTGAAAACTTGTTATAATATTATTTGTATAGTTTGTAATAAAAAAAAAAAAAAAAGAATTTCAATGTACAAAATAAATTTTTGGATAAATGTTTTTATGTAAATACATTTGGATTGACTTTACAATCAATAATAAAAATTTGTGTGACTATCACTTTTATATGTATCTGATATATATATATAAGATTTTAAAAAAATAAAATAAATTTTAGGAAAGAAAGCTCTCAAGTTATTTTTTTTTATTTCCCTTGATTACTTGAGTTTCACCCTACTTAATAATAATAATACTAATTCAAAATCTTTTAATCAAACATTAAAATGAAAATTTTAAGAATTTTTTTTTTTTAATTCAAAAGTTAAACAATGGTGTTATTTTAATGATTTTAATCACATTTCAATTATTTATTTTAAAACGTGTTTTTAAATAGCATGAATTTTATAACGTTTAATTATTTAATTAAAACGTTTTAGCACTTTAAAAAAAATAAAAAAAAAATGTAATTTTTCTCCCCATTGCAATCCTTTTAATAAATTATTAAAGATAAATGGTTGCATCCTTTTTTTCGTCTGCAACCTTCCACCGGGAAGCTGCGCGTTATTGTACACTTTTTTAACGTTTAAATTCATTTCGAGTTAATTATTTATTCAGTTAACGGAAACCATATATGCATTAAAATAATTAATTAATTTTACATTGAATTTTATTATATAAAATTGATAATCAGAGAATAAAAATTTTTAGTGGTAGTAAATATTTATTTCCCGGATTAAGATTATTGTTTCCAATTGAAATAAAAAGAAAGCTTTAAAACAATGAAAATATAATTAATCAAGTTACCTAGTGTGAATAAACTTGAGTCCTGATTTAATAGATGTTTCATTTTATTTAATTATATTATTTTGTGTTCGAACAAGCGACCGTTAAATTTTGCAAAATTCTTAAATAGAATACTCACCAGCGATTGGATCGAATTCATTCGTTTTACCTCAAAGCTCGAACATTTTTTATCTCTATGACTTATAATTTCGGAATAAAATCACAGAGATCTATACTTGTCATTACTTACTCACTTGCAACATTTGAATTAAAATAAAAATGTTATAGCTTATACTTTATTTGCTTTTTATCACTTTGTTTAAACTTCACTTCTTAACACTATTTTTTTATTTTTTGTGTTTAAAGTTTTAAATATGTCCGGTAAAAAATTCATCGATTTAAAAGAAAACGATTTTGTTGAGTTTTATCTCTATCCGAATATACCTTCATCGTTACCTCTTTTCAAAAACGATTTACAGGCAGTGGAAACATTAAAAAAACAAATATTGTCAATTGTAGAAAAAATATCTGAAAAATATATTTGGCACAATGAAGGATTTAAAATTTATGCTAAAAATTTAGTGTCTTATGAATACTCAAACAACGAAGGTGAACTCATTTTAACAATTAAATGTCAGATTTGTATGCAAAATTTATCAATTTATTATTTTTTTTTTTTTGTTTAATTAAATTTAATATTTTTTTTAGAATCAGAAGCATTTTCATTTTATGGTTCACTTAATTATGGTGAAAATATTGAAGATGAATGGTTTATTGTGTATATTTTGACAGAACTGACAAAACAAATTAATGATCTTGTGGTAAGGTAAGTACTTATTATTAAAACTATTAAAAGCAAATTTTGATTTCCTATATATTTTTTGGAATCAATTGTAATTTAAAATATGTAAATTAAATTATATTCATTAATAATTACTTTAAGAATTAATTACCATTAATTTTTTTTTTTCAGAGTTAAAGATACTGATGGTGAATTTTTATTGATTGAAGCTGCTGAGAATTTGCCATCTTGGGTTACTCCAGATTCATGTGAAAACAGAGTTTTCATTTACAATGGTCACTTACAAATTTTACCCAAATGTTACAAACCTAATAAGGATGAATATATTGTTACTGATGAAGTAATCAACTATGTAAGGCAAAATACGAACAAAACTCAGGTTAAAGAAAGTGTGCAAAAAGCAATTGACCAAAGAATTTCAGGCTATCCTGAGAGAATAGAAGAAAATTTTCACAGGGTTAATTTATATGTGCCTGTAGGAGTTGCTGGATTACTTAATGCTAAACCAAACTTAATTGCTCCAGCTGTAAGAGCTTTTTACGAACGAGATCTTATGGATATTAAGGTCAGATAAAATTTCCTTGTAAGTAATATTATTTTGAAATCAGTTAGTCATTATTTCTAAAAGTTAAATTAAAATTTTAGGCATGTCAGGCGATGAGATTTTTTCCTCCTGAAAATAGAGTTTTATCACAAATAAAGTTTACAAAATGTTTGTATGCAATGCTTTCTACTTCTAAATATATTCCCGATAAAAGAACCGGTTGGAGTTTGCCTCCTCCGAATGATGAAATGTACAAGTCTCACTTGTTGGGAATAAAAGTTGTAAGTTTTTAAATACTTAAATGTTAATTATTGATATAAAAAATTGAATTGAATATACATAAAATTTCATGTCGTCTAGGCTTGTGGTTTTGAAATATTATTATCAAGGGTGAGAGGAAAACTGAGTAAATATGAAGAGATGGAAGAAAGTGATTTTACCGAAGATACTCAGTGGAAAAAATTTTTTAAATGTTTAACTGCAAGAAATTATTTTCAAGGTCTTTTAGAACATTCAAAAGAATATAACAGACTTTTAGAAAATGCAAAAAAATATTATCAGTCATCTTGCGAAGAATCTGTAAAGCCCAATCAGGCAAAAGAAATTAGTGATTTGTTAGAAAAATTAGAAATAGACACAGATGAATTAAAAGAAAAAGAAAAATGTCTTCCAGAATCGGATAAAGATGATTGGATGAATATAACTCAAGAAGACTTAGATGCCATGTTAGAAACTAGATTCGGTAGAGCTAGCCAAGTTGAAGGAGATTTAATTAATGGAACAAATAATATTGCCGATCATTTAAAAACTTTTATAAATCATATATCTGGTCTGGAAGGAGCAGAATTTCCAAAGTATAATTTATTTTTACAAATTTTAAACTTTTATAAATGATTAAAAATGATTTTTTTCTTTTGTTTGTTTCCCCCCCCCCTCTCCAGGGCTAATAAATTGATTGATTCATCAGAGAAAACAAAAAAAGGAATAAAAAGTAAAAAACTCAAGACTGTAAAATTTTCTCCCGGTACAAAACTTCACAGCTCAACCTCCGAAGAAAAAATAGAAAAAGTTGAAAAAGAAAATAAAATTCAATTCGAGCCTGACGGTTTTATAAACGCCATACAAAATATTTTAGGTATGGCATTTTCCTTTTTTTTTTTTGAACCTTAAGGAAATCGCCAATTTTCAAACAATGCAAACGAATATTTTACAGATTTTTCCATTCCCGACGATAATTATTGGGAAAGTGAAGGATCAGGTATGAGTTCTTACGAAGATGAAAGCGATATGGAGCTTCCAATCACTAAAACATCCGGGAATAAAAATAAAGAATTGATCAAATACATGAAAGAAATGGATCAAGAACTTTCAAATACGACAATCGGTAAAAGTTTCGAAACGAAGACAAAACTGGTTAGTTTTTTTTTTTTCACTTAACCGGATACTAAAAAATTAGAAAAAATAAATTTAATTGTAATAGTATTAAATCTCACATATTTATTTTTATAGGTTAAAGGGGAAGAAAATGATAGTTTTGATGATATTGAAAATTTCGAACCGGTTGATTTGGATAAAAATGCACTTAAAAATATATTATCCAGTTACCGAGCTCAGTTAGGGGATGCAGGTCCCGCAGAAAATCTTTTAGGACCCTTAGGAATTA